CAACATGCCTCTGATAATTTAAAGCACGATCCTAGTGATTTCTGGAATTTCGTTCGACTAAAGCAGAATACCGTCGATCGTTAGAGATGATGTAGATGAATATACTATTCCGATTGATATAGTCAATGCTTTCGATTCCTATTTTTCATCTGTTTATTCTGACAATTCCAGGGATTTTACTGACGCAGTTCCCACGTTGCCAATGTTTAATATCCATCAGGTAACCGAGGAGGAGATAATTGCTGTAATGAGGGGTTTTAGCTCCAAACTCACAGCGGGTGAAGACCAAATACCTAGTTTTCTGGTACGTGATGTACGATTTGCGTTAGCTAAACCGTTGATGTACATTATTAATCGCTCTATAACTGCTTCGATTTTCCCTCAGAGATGGAAGTCAGCTAGAATCACGCCCGTATTTAAGAAAGGTGACAAGTCCTTGGTAACCAACTATAGACCAATTGCTATTCTATCTAATTTTGCAAAGGTATATGAGCAGATAATTTTTAATACAATTTATCGTCACACACAATCATATGTATCGCCTCACCAACATGGTTTTGTGCCTAAACGCTCGACAATAACTAATTTATGTTGTCTTACCCAGTACGTCGCAGAGGTAATGGATGTTGGTGGACAAGTCGACGTAGTTTATACCGATTTTGAGAAGGCCTTTGATCGCATTGATCACAGTATGTTGCTACAGAAATTGAGCTATTTTGGTATGTCTTCTAATTCATTAAATTTGATGAAATCGTACCTTGCTGATAGAGTATGTCGTGTTTTTTACAATGGATTTTATTCCGACGGCTACTCGCCTACATCTGGAGTTCCTCAAGGATCCAATCTGGGACCGCTGCTATTTGTTCTATATATAAACGATTTATTAGACTCGCTTACCTGTCCAGTGCTTGCTTATGCTGATGATTTGAAAATTTTTGTGGAGGTCAGATCATTGGATGACTCTAGGATGCTGCAGAACAACCTGGACATTATTCAGAAGTGGTGCAATTTCAATGCCCTTTCTTTAAGTATCAGTAAATGTACTTATATATCATTTACAAAGAAGTTAAATAAAATCGACACAGTTTATATTGCGGCTTCCATACCTCTAACAAGGGTCTCTACGGTGAAGGATCTGGGAGTGCTGTTTGACTCAGAACTTTCTTTCTTGCCCTATATTGAGGAGATGTGCTCTCAGGCTTGGAGAACTTTGGGTTTCATACTGAGGATCATGGGTCGATTTGCTGATTTTGGTACCCTGAAAACGCTATTTATGGCTCTGGTGATCTCTCGCCTCCAGTATGCCTCTGTAATATGGTACCCTATTTACACGTCACAACAACTAATGGTTGAGAAAGTCCAGCGTCGATTTCTCAAATTTTTGTCATATCGTATGGATGGTCAATATCCGCCTAAAGGAGTGAACTACTTAGATCTACTGCATCGCCACAAGCTTCCTTCTTTGCAGGATAGAAGAATGGTCCAAAGTGGTCCTCGTTCTTGCAAAAGTTGATGTGTGGTGAGATCGACTGTGCGTGGTTGTTGTCGCGAGTGAATATAGTGGTGCTGCGCATAAATTCTCGGTCCCATTTGTATTTTTATCCACCTTTATGCAGAACAAATGTCAAAAAAAGGGCGCCGATAACACATATTATAATTAATTATAATTATAATTTTATTCATGCTCGATATTTCAGTATACAATACATTATAATATGTCACACTTGTCATAATTCATATTAAACAATACATGTTAAAAACTACTTGAAATAAAACAAACAATCTACGGCGTAACAAACACAGCATAACAACTGATCGTTAATTAATTTTAATAACAGGTTCAAAATCACCCACATTTACAACATCATCCAAATACTCGAGGCACGAATAATAAGCCCTCTGAATAAGAAAAGATTTCATTTTTAGTTTAAAAAGCCTATGTGATAGCCTTGTAACTTCTGCAGGAATTTTATTGAAAAATTTTATTGCCACAAAATTAAAATGGCGTTGACTTCTGGTAAGCCTGCAGAAATTAGGTATCAAGTGTGCTCCATTCCTAGTTTCATATCCGTGCACACTATCGTGAGTAACACACTTGTGAAGGTTTTGCCTGACATAGATCACACATTCCAGGATGTACAATCCCGGGAAGGTTAAAATTTTTTGCTTTATGAAAGAGTTACGACAATCATCTCTGTATTTTAAGTTGTCTAAAATTCTTATTGCTCTTCTCTGAAGTCGAAATATTCTATCGCAGCTTGAGGCACCCCCCCAAACCAGGAGTGCATATGTCATTATACTTTGACACAGCGAAAAATACGCACATTTTAATACTTGTTTTGACACATTATTGCTTAAGAGACGAAGCAGATATATACTACTAGATAGTTTATTAAATACATATTGGATATGTTTGTCCCAAGTTAATTTAGGATCCAGATAAACGCCTAGAAATTTAACACAATCAGAATTCAAGGTAGACCGCATTGAAAAAGCAGTAACTGTTGTCTTTTCAGTATTTAGTTTCAGTTTGTTCGACGTAAACCACATTTCGGCATTATTTAGTGCAGTATGCGCCTTCGACTGTGTCATTTCATGGTTATTTCCAAAGTTTATTATGGTTGTGTCATCGGCGTACATTATTACATCCGACTGACTTATATTTTGAGCAAGATCATTGATATAAATTAAGAATAATAACGGTCCCAGAATTGACCCTTGTGGGACACCCACGGTTATTAATTTCTTTTCTGAAAAGCTATTTCCACATTTAACAGTTTGAGTTCTACCTGTAAGATAAGATTTGATTAGTTTCAAACTGAGATTATCAAAATTATATTTATTTAATTTTTCAATCAAAAGGTCATGTTGTACACAGTCGAAAGCTTTACTCAAATCACAAAAACTTCCAACAAGATACTGCCCCTGNTCCAGGTTCTGCTTCTCTTGAGATACTGAGGTTTTGCTCTTGCTTTGAAGGTCTTCGTATCAGTCTTTTTGTGTATATTTTGCCATCTCTTACATTTTGCCAGACATTTCATGTTCATTCCGTCGTCTTTCCATCTGACGGATGTTGTTATGTTTAAGAATATAATAATCTTATCTAATCTATCAGGCATAGAATGTGTTATAATATGTTAACATATGTTTAATATGTTATTTCATCATATCTCAATTCAACTTTGAGTTATAGGAGTGATATAGTTTAAAATTGTTCGCAAAACTTGGTTACTTGTATCAACTAGGAAACGGTTTAATATCATATTCGGGTTAACTAAGATAAATATATTTAAATGATACTATAAATGAAACTTTAATAGCAGTTTAAATTAGAAACGGAGTTTGTGTCTTCATGAAGATAGTGCATTAATAGAAAATTTTATGTTGCAATTGAAACCCACATGTATTCTTCTCGTTTTAAGTTTGTATATCGAGAACGCTGCCAACGATAAATAAATCAAAAGATGACGTTCGAAGCTAGCGGCAAGTAATTTTGGAAAGTGCTTCTGTTGAATACAGAACACGCACGTCACGTGTATGTTGTACCCATACACAACCTTGCCACGATTATACACAAATTTTTTTTTAAATTTTCAACAATTCAAAAAGTAGTTGTTTTTAAATACATGCTATGTCGAAAAGATGGAACCTACAACGATAGATAAAGCGACAAAACCTTTTAGTGGTGTAAATTTTTTGCTTCCATCAAGTCTTGGAGACTTTAACGGTTCGGGACCAATTAATCCTCATTGTATTGTCGTTGGTGACCGTTTTCTTGCGCAATACTATAACACTGCATTTGCACACAATGCGACATACAACCAACTGGATCACGTATTATAGAACTCGTTTATGTATTCATCTTTTAGTTCATATATTTTTCCCTTCCATTTCCTTCTCGAGTTAAATCCGTGGGTGTTTCTTTATTTTTCTGTATTTTATAAATAAAAATTGAGCTTTTTTTTAAGTTGTTCTCGATGTTTTAAGGATTTGATGGTTGAGGTACTTCAACGCACCATTAACCATAAAGACGAAAAATCGGTCAAATCAATGAAACAAATTGAAAATCGAATTACTTACCTTAGTTCGCAGTAAAGACATCATCTGAAAGACTGTTAAACAACACTCTTAAGACAGCGGTTCTAAGTCTAATGTTAATTCTAATGCTAGTGTATATTGATGTATATTTTTCATTGAATGTCTGAAGAAGCACGGCTAAACCAGAAACTTTCTAGTTCTAGGTCTAGTGTTAATTCTAGTTTTAATTGTTATTCGGCATTAGATTGTTGTAAATTTTTATTGAACGAAAACACTAGAACTAGAAAGTTTCGGGTTTTGCCTTTACTTTTTACTTACCGTTTTAAATAGAAGTAAAAAAAAACTGTACTTAGTTCGCAGTAAAGACATCATCAAATTATTATTCGTGGTTTTTCGTTAATTACCTTTACCTGTTAACCACATTAAGTAATAAGACGCATTATTAACACAGGGTCGATTCAACCGTAATTAGTTTATAACAACAGGTATATAGGTATTTAGCTAATTACTTTTCAAATTGTAAGAACTCAATTATTATAAAAGATTTTTATTTAATGATTTATTGTATATGAATCATAACCTAAAAAAAAATTAACGCGATAATTATTTTCTTTATATTTAATTGAATCATTTATTGTTGTTAATATAAATTTTTTGGCTTCATCGACATCTTAAACAATTTCGAACGGTACCAGTTTCATAGCATGCCAAAAAAAAAAGAATTAAAAGAATCGATTCATCTCGATGGCCCCAAATTTCGAATGCAGCAAAAGATGTCTTCGATGGTATAGCGTGGTTCATCCGTGGTAGCAGAAAGAGACAACAGAAGCTGAAGCCCGAGACCAGCGCCCCCACCATCGTACCAACGTTATGTAGGTTACAGCGGTATGGGTCTACAACAGGTACAGTTATTCTTTGAGGAGGGGTGTTGGTGAGGCCTCAGCTTTTGGTAGGGCCTCCGCGGCTGCCAGTGCGCTGTCTTCAGTCTCCGGTTGTGCACCATTCCAGTGACGGAGGTTTTCGACTCTTTTTTTAAATTTTTTTTGGGGGGACTTTTTTTCCGTTCGTTCGGCTTCTGTGTGACACAGTGTAAAGAAGAAAAGAGGGGACGAAGAACTTAACAGTGACTTATCTAAAGATATATAACTAAAGTTATAAGAAGAGGATCAAATTTTATTTTGATTAGTGTTAAATGATAAGTGACACTAAAAGATATTTTCTGCATCTTCGTCTTCAACCTCAGTGGTGATTTCAATGGGAAGTGTTTGTGCCTTTGGATATGACCTAGAAGATTAGGATTCCAAAAAGCATGTAAGTTATATTTTGATTAAATTAATGAATAATGTGGTGGTGTTAAAAATTCTTCGACCTCTTTGAAAATTACTTCTTCGTGTCTTGTATGTACCATCTTCAAGGTGGTACCGAAGATATTCTTCGTAAGTATGCGTCGCTGGCAAAGTAGGTCAGTGGTCTACATTGCCCCCCTCGGCCTCACCGCCGCCCGCCGTCATACCCCCCCTTTTACAGCCGCCCAATCGAAGAGACACTGGCTCTTCCGGTTTCCTCAACAAAGACTCCGTCTATCTACAGAGCGCGCTCTCAACACCAGAAACTACAATAATATTATTTTTTTTATTTTAAGATTTATTTAAAAAAAATTCGATTTCAACACTTTGATGGCAAATAATTGATGAAGAAGAATTATGTTATTACGAGTTTATTTACTTTTAAATCGAAAGACGTAACAACGAAATTCTAGATTTTCGAGTCAGGGTCCTTGCATAACCGAAAATTCCGAGCTTTCGCAATGTTGCGAGTTGCGCGGGACATTGCCTCGAAGAGAATAAGGAAAAAGTATCGAAGGATCGGTGTACTAAAGTGCTCGGCACGTAAGTAGTTAATCGACGACGGTCCCGTGACCACGACGAAGAAATTCTCGAAACAACGTCTACTTTCTCCTTGCTAAAACGATCTTTGAATGGTGTGGTTGCACTTCGACGTCATCGACTTTAATTTAAAACGTCAAATTAATATATTACTATAAATTCAAATAAAATTAAGTTAGGATTCTTTTAACTTTCTGTTCTTCGACAAGAAACGACTCGTATAGTGTATACGCACTGCCGGCGCTAGTTCAACATTTTATTCAGGGACGGTCAGTAACCTTAGCTCTGTGTGTGTGAAGCTTTCCCCGTCGTATTATTATAGATGAGACAAGTTCCACTAAAAAAAGTGATTTTAATTTATTATAAATAAAGGATATGTTGTGGTTCAATCACCAGGCGTGGGATGTCTCTTTTGAGGTCGATCTGTGAAAGGTTATGACCTAGAAGCCAGCATCGTCGTCGTCGCAGGGTGAATGACAATTGCGAGAGACTCAAACCGATTTAAAAACGTAACTGTTCATTCGGACGTGGGCGCACGTCTCTTCTAAAACCGACCCAGCACGGAGATGGTATCGTCCCGTCACAGAATTCCTCTCTTCCTGGACCCGTTACATCGAGATTATTATCAAAGTGATTTTTTTTTGACGACGAGAAAATTTGCATTCTATCAGAATCCAATTTAGTATTCACTTAAATTTACTTTATATGTTTTTGAAGAAGAAGTAAATGTTGGCCCCTATGAAATATCTATATCAGGCTAACTAGATCGTAGCTAACGGTATGGAGGCGTATTTAAATTTCAAAAAACCGCCAGTTTGCGTTGCGCTTAACATTTCAGACCGTTATCCATAACGTTGCCATTGATAATTTGTCAGCAGTCTCAGCTATTGTTTGTAAATCGTTCGGAGATCGGGACGACGCGGTCCTGGTAAAATACTCTTGGTGGGCATTGTTCCTTCATGTCATTACCTCCCACGAGTACAAGACTTAAAGTCTTGTCATATATGTAATAGGCACAAAAAGAAATTTCTTTTATTTTTATCCTAAACTGAATAATCTTATAATTGATGATATGATTATTGTTTTGGGAAGAACCATGAAGATGAGACGGCTTGGTGTCAGAATCAGTAATAAGAAGTGGTGGGGAGACACTGCTAACACACTTTACGTGATCAAGCAGTTAGGAAAAGGAGGGGGATACAAGACTTATTTAGTTATAGTCGTGGGGAGAAGCAGCTTCGTCCGCCGTTCCTAGCGGTACCAAGTGCGTCATGGCGCGCGCGGGCCGACACCGTTACTGGCGGAAAGTGAAGCTGACGCTGCCGCTGTGCCAATTTCCGCACTCGCCACACTCGTGGCCTACTCCCGTTCGAAACCAAGCTGAGTCTCTATTACTATACTATGTGAGTGTATTAGCGCCCCCTACGATTATCTTTGAAAATTACTACCAGTTTCCCACGGCCGACTATGTAGTCATACAAATCAGGAGGAGGAGATGAATCAGGATGCAGTAAAATCCCGATATAACGAACTTTATTTAATTCTGATATAGCGGACAAAATAGTTTTAAATATTCTCAAAGTTGTCTATACGATGTATAAATAAAGGATGGTAGTTTTAGTTTTAATTATTGTTATTCAACGCTAGATTGTTGTATATTTTTATTGAACTAAAACAAGAATATTAGTTTTCAGCCGTCTTAAGAGACGTGCAGCTAAACCCGAATGTTTCTAGTTCTAAATCTAGTGTTAGTCTAGTTTTGGTTTCATCTGTTCATATGTCTGGTCATAGTTAGTACTGGAATAAAAACTAAAACCTAGAACTAGAAACATTCGGCTTTAGCCTCACGTCTCTTAAGACGACTAACCTCGAATGTATCTAGTTACAGGTCTGGTCATAGTATTAGTGATAGAACTAAAACTAGAACTAACACTAGACCTAGAACTAAAAAGTTTCGGCTTTAGCTGTACGTCTGAAGAAACCTAAGAAACTAACCCCAATCTTTCTAGTTGTATGTCTACTATCCGTGCAAAAAGTCAAAGCCCCTCACTTTAGAGATCAATATCTTCGTAACCGCTCGATGGAAAAAATTGCTGTAAAGTTTATTGTAATCAGTGAACATTTCTGCGTATCACATGTTAATTTGGAAATTTTCGGGTCCGCGGTTTTACTTTTATCGCGAGTTAAGTGAAAAAAGTACCCGATTTTTGAGAGTGCCAGCAACTTTGTCTACTTTGCCATTTTTTCTCTCCAAAACTATTTGACGAAAAAATTTCAAATTTGAACTGGTGGTAAACCGATGTGTTCTTAATTAATTAAAGTTCTTAATTTTATTTTTTCGATATTCCATATAGTTTCGCGGAAAATCGCGGTTTAGTACGATGCTATTATTTCGAAAACGACCTGGCGAATTTCAACGCGGTTTTTACCAAAATATGTCAAATAACGCGGATTTTCGGATTCCGTTATCAGTTTTTCAAAAATAAGGCTCTCTAATTTTTTAAGAGCGATTTAATGGAATTACAAATTAAAGAGAAACAGAAATCAGCTATGCGGGGAGAGGAAGGTTCCGTCCAATCGGAACAGATGGTGCGTCCCAGACAGTACGTCGCGCCTTTATCTTGCCTACATAAAGAAATAAGGCGCGACGTCCTGTCTGGGACGCACCATCTGTTCCGATTGGCCGGAACCCTCGTCACCCCGCAGAGCTTATTTCTGTTTCTTTTTAATTTGTAATTCCATTAAATCGCTCTTAAAAAAATAGAGAGCCTTAATATTGAAAAACTGATAACGGAATCCGACAACCAACATTATTTGACATATTTTGGTCAAATCCGCGAAGAAATCCACCCAACCGTTTTCGACATAACGGCGTCTTACTAAACCGCGATTTTCCGCGAAACTGTATGAAATATCGAAAAAATAAAACATGCCACTCATTGAGAACACATCAGACTACCACCTGTTCAAAATTAAAATTTTTTCGTACGATAGTTTTCGAGAAAAAAAATCGCAAAGTTGATAAAGTTGCCAATTCCGTAAAAAATCGGGTACATTTTTCATTTAACTCGCGGTAACAAGAAAACCGTGGATCCGAAAATTTTCAGATTAACATAAGTTACGTAGAAATGTTCAGTGATTACAACAAATTTTGTTGCAATTTTTTTTATGGAGCGGTTGCGAAGATATCGATCTCTAAAGTGAGGGGCCTTGACTTTTTGCACAGATAGTAGTGTTATCTTTAGTGCTGGAACTAAAACTGGAACTAACACTCGATTTAGAACAAGAGACATTCGGGTTTAGCCGTGTGTCTTCAGGGTCTTCAAAATCTTTCTTCAGGGACTTTTAGCTATAATTAACACTCTTCCTCGTATTAATTCTTTATATCGAGGTTTTACTGTATTGCCTAAACAAGAAATTAAATTTAGGTTTTATTTTAAGAATATAAATAAATAATTTTTTTTTAATTAAATCATTACGATACAATTAATTTATTATTTATCTAATACTTTAATCTATAATTGAAATAACAAAAAAAGCTAATATCAGCAGCTGAGGGTAATTGATCTTAAAACCGGAACGAGTTAAGATTACGTAATCAACGAAAAGATTCTAAAATAACAATAATAACAAAAGCAATTTAAGTTGCAAGTTGAGAAAGACAATCTCCGGTGGTTCGGTGCTGTTGCCGGCGGTTGCCGCTGTTGTCCCATTCCAAGAATGTCACGCACCTTGGTTATATAGCGTAATGGGCCAGTAAAGCGGTAAATCTTTTTATAAAACAATTTCATTTGTGTTCGTTTTAATCGAAGAATCTTTAACATGTATCGTATAAAAAGTAAAATGTTTTGTGTTGAAACTTTTAATTTTGTTTTTTTTTTTTGCAGATGCATCTCTTTAAGTTTCATCAAAGTAAGAAGAAAATCAACGGATAGTTTATTCAAGTCAATTAAAATAGTAAGTTAATTTTCATTAACAAAAATAACTTTCATATAAATCTAATAAGATATCCATTTCGTATAACTAATAGAAACGTTATTAGATGATGAAGATTATACAATATCCAGTATTTTGTAGATATAATACATTTCAATTAATAGGTAAATATGTCACTATTTTTTAAAATTACTCGAATATGTAAGAGAGGTTGCCTAACTTGAATTAGATATATTTTTGAACAAAAAAATGATTCTTCACTATATTTTACTACAAATATGAGTGGTTCCTTGGACTGGACCCTAGCACTCCCTCAGTACAAGACTTCTGCTTGTTAACTCTCATCATCTTCACAGATTAGCCTTTACTTAGCTGTTAACCTTATCCTCTTTTTCATATTGCTTGATTTGATCTTAAGGATAAAGGGGCATATGCTGCGTGACTTTACTATCATCATGTCATCCCTGAGGTATATGATGTAGCTCTAAACAATAACTCTTTGTTCTTTAATAAATTTGGATATGATTAAATACTATGTATTTTGATGACAAGATTAGTCAGTTTAATAATAATAATAATAATTCACTTTATTGCCCAACAAAGATCAATTACAGGACAATATTACAAGAAAAAGAAAATAAGAAATAACACATGCCATAAAACAAATACACTATTATTGATTGTTAGTTAGTTTACACATCCTCTGCACCAGGGAGTTGGCTAAAACATTGGATCTGCAATTCCTCAAATAAAACTGATTTGTACTACGTGTTGCACGCGTAGGCACCGCGAAAATGATCCGCGACAACAACCAACCACAATCCAATTCACCTTGCACTAACTTCTGCAAAAACTTGATGCACTGGTCATTTCTTCTTACGTCTAGTGCAGAAAAATTGTGACGCCGCAGCAGGGATGCGTAATCCATTCCACGATCCGGGTATGATCCGTCCAGGCGTAGAGACAAATATTTGAGAAATCTCCTCTGAATTCTCTCCAATATAAGTCTATGACACACATAATGTGGCGACCAAATTACAGAGCCATATTCCAATTTGGACAATACAAAGGTCGAAAATAGGGTCTTGTACACACCGATATCAGAAAAAGCACGCGAGGTGCGCAAAACGAAACCAAGCATCCTCGCTGCAGAAGATGCAATATTTTCGATGTGAGGTACAAAAGACAATTTGCGGTCAAAAGTTACTCCCAGATCCTTGATTGTAGATAATTTCTCAAGAAGAACACCTTCTATATAATAAGAAGATGGAAGAGGAGACAGCTTGCGTGTAAAACTAACCGCACCGCACTTATTGGCATTAATCTTTAGCTGATAACGGTTACACCATTCCACCAAGACGTCCAAATCCGACTGAAGACTGACAACATCACGGTCCGCAAAAATAGGTCGGAATAGTTTCAGATCATCCGCATAAGCTAGTACGCTTGATGAAAATTTGTCTAGAAGGTCATTCAAGAAGATAACAAATAGTAGGGGGCCTAGATTTGAGCCCTGAGGAACACCAGATCTAGCCGTAAACTCCATAAACGCATAACC